AGTTGCTGAATTCATTTATCCCATTTCTATTTCCAGGGTTACCAGTTGGGTTTAACTGGACCAGTCGTACCATTTGGCACAACTTTCAACCAGTTGTTAGCTCCAATTAGCAGACTTAATTAGTAATTTATGTAGCGCTTGTACTAATTAATTTTGCCATTGGCAACAACACATCGTCTAAAATTTCCAATGTAAAGGCATTGGTATTAAGAAGACTTGGTTATTTTGCGGTGATGAGACATTTCCATATACTTGTATTTTATTGAATCTGTTTTAGGTCATAGTTAGTGTTTTTCCTAATTCATGTTTAATTCAATGTAATGTATACAAAGTAGTGAAATGTCCTAATAATTAGCAATTTACATTTAATAGTATTTTCGAAATGAATTGCTTATAACTAAATCATCAGCAATTAGGAAATATCCTGTAAATTCAGATAAATTGTAAAAAAACATAGATATGCACGCACCCCATATTCATTATGCAAATTCTGGGTATATTTTGTGGGTTTTGGGTGGGAAGGCCCATCTGGTATACATCTGGTTTTCAGCTGGGCGAAGACAATGTTCGACTTGCGATTTTCACCACCAAAAAACCCACATGGGGCCCACAAGGGGCACATATGTGTTGGTACTTGTGGGTTTTTGGTGGGAAGGCCCATCTGGTATACATCTGGTTTTTAGCTGGGCCCAGCCGATGTTCGACGTGCAATTTTCACCACCAAAAACCCACATGGGGCCCACATGGGGCACATATTATGTGTTGGTACTTGTGGGTTCTTGGTGGGAAGGCCCATCTGGTATACACCTGGTTTTTAGCTGGGCCCAGCCGATGTTCGACGTGCGATTTTCACCGCCAAAAACCCACATGGGGCCCACATGGGGCACATAATGTGTTGGTACTTGTGGGTTCTTGGTGGGAAGGCCCATCTGGTATACAACTGGTTTTTAGCAGGGCCTAGCCGGTGTTCGATGTGCGATTTTCACCACCAAAAACCCACATGGGGCCCACATGGGGCCCATATGTGTCGGTAGTTGTGGGTTATGGGTGGGAAGGCCCATCTGGTATACACCTGGTTTTTAGCTGGGCCCAGCCAATGCTCGACGTGTGATTTTCACCCCCAAAAACCCACATGGGGCCCACACGGGGCCCATATGCGTGGGTTCTGGGTGGGAAGGCCCATCTGGTTTTTGTATGGGCCACGTGGGCTTTAGCCATCCCATACAAAACCCAGATGGGCCCCAGATATTTTGCTATCTGGGTAAGTACATTCTGTAGAGGTGTCGCAGTCGAGTGGTTCAAATAATTGACTGGAAATGCGGATGTCGTGGGTTCGAGCCCCGATAGGGCCGACACACACATGACTCTGTTAATTTGGTACCCGGTAGGATACGAACGTCAAAATGTGGTTTTATTGGGATGTGTTCGCTGGTAAAATGGCGCCTGGCTCGAATACTCCCCAGGGAGCGGCGCATGTGTCCTATCATGTGCGGATTAGCAATTGAATCCAATGACCGCGGTAATACTAATTACAATGTAAAGTGCTTAGAAACGTAATTGTATTAAGCGCTATACATATTAGTATCATTATATCCCACTGACTAGAAAATATCTCAAATCATCACTCATAGAGATACGACAGTTATTTCAAAATTCGGAGCGAAAAGGGCATTAACTCATGTCATTTAACACAGAGTTAAAGCCCTTCTGGCTCCCAGCAGACGAACTGTATATTTGAACGTTGAAAGCAAGGCTTGCTGCAACTTCGTCCCTTTAAAAGAGGAAACACTCGAAAACGAATGACCACAGGAAATAAGCTGAAGAATTTGTAGGAAGTGAAAGATTTTATCATGTTGAGAGCTTTGTGTTCAAGTGAGATTAAATTACATACCGAAAGTGAAAGATTTTATGGCAAGTCATAGTTGCTTTATTTAGATGAATAGTCTTACAGCAGTTGAGCATTATACACACAAAGTATAAGATTTTCTCATCGAGTTGTGCTGGTAAGTATGATGTCAAGATTTATCAATTTAAAAATCAAAGGCTCACGAAATTGAAGTTTGGAGAGAGAAAGGGAAGAAGAAGACGAAGAACACACAGACAAAACAAGTCTCATTGCTTTATCATCACTGAAAAGTAACATCTTTCAGCGTTTTTGTTTTTGTCATGCTTTATTTTCTATATAAAGTGTATAATTGTGTCCTCATTTTGTCATTGTCAATTATCATCAAACACCATTATAGAATAGAAACAGAGATTTGTTTGTCCACTGTCACTTTATCCGAATGAAGAGTCTTTTAAATGATCGAGCGTTAAGCGGATGATTTTATGCGAACAGAATTCAGTTTATTGATGATTATGCGCCACTATTTTCTCTCTCTCTCTCTCTCTCTCTCACTCCATCTATCACGACTTCTCCTCCACGTCTTTTTTCAATGTTTCTCGGTCTCTCTCATTCTTTCTCTTTTATTCTCTCTCTCTATTATCTCTCTCTCTCTCTCTCTCTCTCTCTCCCTCTACTCTCTGTTCCGTATAGACATTCTACTGAACATTATGATTTATATCGATTGTTTGTTTTTACATCAGTCAGTTTATTAATATTTGACTTGATTTTCATTTGATCCACGAAGCATGTTGTATAAGTAAGCTATAATTATCATGACTTTGTGGATCGGACAAGCTGCGTAAATAACATGCATATATACTTATACATGTATTTTGTTTTCTGATACTACGAGAAAGCCATGACAAAAAGTGACAAACACTTATCCGAAGATATACCGATCATTTTTTATACAATATAAAAGATGTTATTTAATTCAATTGTTTACAAATATCATCTTTCAAAATCGTGAGTAGATATTTGTCGATTGGTTGTAGTGCATGAGAGAAGGAAATATTAGTATCTTTCATTGGTATACTTAACATGAGCAATAGCTTTCAAATTTCATCTTTCTCATACATTGTAAAAAATAGTCTGCTTGTAATAGTAGTATAGTAGTAATAGGCAGAGTAGTAGTTTACAAAATGATGAAAATACTTGTAACAATACTACTAATATTTGCTATCATTGGAATGGTGAAAGAAAAGCTCAATAAAAAGAAAAGAGTAAGGTTCTATTCGGTTCTCTCGTGGCGTGAATATCAATTAAACTAAAGTATTACCAGTTGCCATAACAATCACCGCGCATTTTCATACTTACATATTAGATAAGTTGAAAGTCGTTTTTTCACAAATATATGCATATCTTAGTAAGTGTATTGTGTAAATAATCTTGCTGCCAATAAGACAAATAAGTATAGCCTCCATGATGACAAGATATTGCATTGCATAATGTGAACAGACAAGTCACTCCCTTCGAGACGAAAATTGCAATTATTTAACAGTAAGATAATACTTCGCTAAAAAGCAAATAATGGAAATACGTTGGCGTTCGTCTTGTGACCAGCGCATCTATATTCTTCGTGATTTGTGCATTTCATGTAGAATTTTTGTTCTTCAATGATACAATTTACAAAATAATATATCATCAATGTAGGCGATAGTTATAATTCTTTTCCGATATTTCTCTCCCCTCTAGCTAATCACATATCATGCACTTTCTATACAAAAAAGAAGTAGCTGAAAATATCGTCGTTTTATTGCACTTACAACAATATCAATATATTTATGTTTGCAGCCTCTAAGTACATGTAGCAAGTTCATAGATTACTTCACAACACTGTGAAATATATTGGGCACAAGCTTTGGAATTCCTCGTCCTTTGAACTAAAAAATGCCCATCATAACATTCTTTTAAAAGAAAACATACAAAATATATCATCAGTACTTACTGGCCTGACCATTGATTATCTCCTTCCTTCATTTTTTCCCTCTTAGTTAGTCCTCAGTGTCTTTTTTGTGATGTACTATGATGTCATTTATCTTTAATGTATTTAATTGCACTTTTGTGTCTGGTTTTCCTATGTTTTGATGTCACCGTTTTTATGATTTTGAATGGAATGGGGGGGAAAAAAAGCTGCTAAAAAACATATTGATAGAAAACGTTTTTCAACCGTGCATTTCGAGTGGGGAAAAAATGCAGTGTATAGATACTTACAAACATAGTAAATATTTTATACACCATATCTTACGTGTAAATCATAGATGACAGGTGATGCAAGGTTTAACATGTATAAATATGTAATTGGCATAATTCTGTCTTACGAATACTGAAACAATTACCATTTTAAGTCATTTTAAAGAGCATGCGCTCTCATACTCCAAGTTACCTCATGGAAGAAAAAAATTACACACCATTGCTGTGACGAAGGTATACAAAAACAACGACAACAATAACAAGCTTTATAATATTAATAATGATAATAATAACAATGATAATGTTACAGTAATAATTAAATACTTATTAGCGCTCTCGAAGAGTACTTAAGTTGATAAACTTAAAAAGTCAAATCTTTGTACAAATTACCAAAAAGTATATCTATATCCTAGAAAGAGTCGATCGAAGGATCTTAAAATGCGATCCAGCGTTTATACCACTAACGTTATATTGGTTATTAATTGTGACATATCCTTCTAAAAATATATATAACTGTGAAGCCTTTCACATTGAATATTTGGTGACATACACAAATATCGGGGTGCTTCAACCAAATCCAAGCATTGCTCGTCTGCACATGCAGTATACTGCAGTGGCGACAAATGTGTTTGAATGTTTGACGAATAAAAAAGAAAGTACAAAATTTTGGCGAATATCGTACTTGCGATACTATACGTGTATGTGCATAGATTTAAGATATATTTTCATAGTTACGATTTAAAATCGGATATTACAAAGCTATTGCAATAAAAGAGTACTTTCAGGCTTTTTGTTTCAGCGAATATATACGAGTAAATAAGTATCAGCCTCAGTGTACATAAAAAGCATCATCGATATTCAGCATAGATATTTACAAGCTTGTTCGCTTAATAATACAGAATATGAAATATACAAATTGGCATCATTGGTTTCTTTCTTTAGTTTGTGTTATCCTTTGGAAGTACCGCTTGGATTCTACGCCTTTCTTGCTCTGAGCTAGCACGAGTTGTTCCCCGTCGATGTACCTGGCGAACACGGGCTCGCTTCCATCGACATCATCCATCATTCTGATGACGAGCTTCTCGTCTTCCCACGATGCCTTCATCTCCCTGTCCGACTTCTCCCAGGGGATGTTTCCTTTAAACACCTCGTCCACCTTGAAGCGCATCTCTTGCTTGTTCAACGGCGTCCTGGTCGCGATCTCGAACGTGCCCCCGCCATCCTGTTTGATGTCGACAGTAGGGTTCACTTTACATGCCATTGTCCTGTGTACCAGTCCGACACCGCATGCTTTCAAGAACTTGTCCAGGTTCTCACTGCTCACCAACTTCCAAGAGCCACTGAGATCGACCGACACCATGTTGGTGGGGTAATTCCTTCGGGAAATCCTCTACGGGTTCCTTTAACGGTTATTCGTGATTACCATAAGTAATCAAATCGCGTACAGAAACTACCATGTAAGACTGAGTGGGAGTATAATTCAAAAGCTGGTAAACAATCCAACTGTTATTCTCACAATTCAACTTTGCCGGGTCAATTTGTGTGTGTGGGTTAAACAGTAACTGTTGACTGGTGTAGGAGTCTTGTACGAACAAAAAAGAAGCATATACTTTGCAATGGCTTCACCTGATCTGTCCTCCTGTAGTCTCCTATTGACATTTAAATCCACCTTTGTGATTATTTGACGAGGTGTACAATAAATATTTGTTCCGGTTCAACATAAAAGGTTTGCCTACCCGTTCAATCGCCGCTAAATCAATAATCAACTCAAACCGTCAACAAAACTCGACACAGCGACAGTACTTTCTCCTTTTGCCTGTACCTCCCGTATTATCGAGGATATGTGCTAGAAGCGGGAAGCATGTGCATATAAAATACATTTTCAATCATGCTGAGCTAGTGCGCATAATGAGGCTCGATGGCATTGCATGGTCTGTACTATGCAAAGCTGGTGGATCTATCGGGGTAAATTTGCACCTAGTGCGATGAGTTGCAGTACGTGCATCGCATGATATGCTGTCCCTCGATGAGTGTCGTGCAGTGGCTTATGTCACAATCGCAACTGCAATCGAAATGCTAACGCCGAAGCATAATGAGTATGACGATGAAGTGCCTATGAAACGTTATTCTGTCTACTTGGGTGAATTAATGAGCTTATCCGGCCGATCGCCGGGACACGCGACTCCGCGTGTTTTCCTGTCTCATGCAGGACATGTGATGTACTAATATTTGTACACGTCCATTGTCACTAGATTTTTTTTCTTCTTCTATTGTATTACAGAGTCAAGTTTGAAGGAAAAAAACGGGGTCGCGGACAATATACAACGATTGTTATTGTACAAATATAGTAACTTATATTGTCAGGGACAGGGGCGGGTCCAGGGTTTTGTAAAAGAGGGGGCACAATATATTCGATAATACTCTTCTGACAAAAAAGGGTCATTAGAGTCGGGTGCTTTAATTCCTGCACCAAAAAGGGGATATGCCACGCCCCCTTATCCGTCAATGGTAGGGAAATTGGGCACCCCTGTGTTGCTAGCCTGTACTAGCTTGTGATGGTGGGTTAATATACCAAGTGACACACTATAGTTAACAAAGCAAGAAGTAAAGGTCCTCAAATTATTATAGTATATATGAAAATTGATTCTTTGATCCAAACGAAATGTTAAAGAAAATAAAAATTATAAGAATATTATATACATTTTATATATATATACATATTTAATTTAATATATCTGGAAAAATAAAATTAAAACCGGTCATATAATGAACAACAAAATTCTCCAGGATTTTTATTTCAAATGTTTTAACTATATGTGTATATACACATATTATATAAAAAATGAAGAATTATATGTAATTGTTATATTTTTGTGTGTGTTTGGGTGCGTCTGTGTGTGTTTTCGTGTCGTTGTGTGTGTTATGAGTGTGTGTGTGTGTGTATGTGTGTGTATTAAATTAGTATATTACTCTGAAGAAAAGAAATAATTTTTCAGCAGCACTATTCTTTGGATTTAATGTTCTTCCTCTCTGTGAAGTGAAGGGCGCCAGCAAAAAGTTGTGTGATTTATACTTTTTTCAATCGAGTAGGCAAGTTCCAAGACTATGGGTACTCATAAGAAACGGTATGAAAGTGTAATATCAATCAAATATTAACGGTTGATAAATTAAATTATTCTATCGAATTGTTTAGACTTTGAATTAACAGGACGATACTTTGTTGAAGAATTGTAGCTAGAAATAATTAGCTTTTCACACTGTTTTTATTTCACCTAACGAACACCACCGACATCAGCAACAAAAGTACTACTACTATTAGTACTACTACTAATAATTATTATGATAAGATGATGATGATTATGATGATGATGATATGAGCAAACATATCGAAGACTCACAAATTAATTGCAGTTTCCCTGTACACCACAATAGTAAATATCATGTAAGGGTGTTGCTTCGACATATTCTTATAGGATTTTTTCCTTCAAAATGTATCCTTCATGAAGAGTGATCCACACTTGATGAGCCTTTATTTAATGTTGTACTTATTACAATTGTTCATTTATCCATCTACAGATCTTTCTCTCCGATAATTCTTACAAAGCAAGTTCAGCGTTTTGGAAAACATGATTTAAAATCATTTAAGAAAATTGCATTTCGCGCCAACTCTATCAATTATTTATCAGTCCCCCTTCACCTCAATTATTTGCAAATAATGTACTAGCGTTATAAGTATTGCAAAGCCCTACTTAATAAATGTATTGTTTTTCAAACACTTATAACAATGACATAGACAAAAAGTCAAAATAAGTACTTGCCCTTACGTTGTTCTCATTCGCATGCTCAGACATTAAAGTTATTATGAAATCAATCAGATATGTTATTGATGGTCTTATTCAAAAGTAATACTAAATACGGACATGACGAAACAAATTGACATATAAATAATACATTATTATACACCCTTCAAACACTAAACAATATTGGGTACATTTTGCCTATATAGCACGAGGTTAATTATGTATCCAACCAACTTCGGGCATTTCTATACCCAACTTGAGTAATATATTGTCCAAATAAGGTCAAAATATAGAATAGTTACTTTAAAATAGGCGAAATATTGATCAAGATGTTGTTTTTTTAATGCCCAAAATTTGGTGGATACTTAATTACCCACATGGCCAATTTTACCCAGTATTTTCAAGAGTAAACAACAGCCTTATATATAAGTATATAATCTACATAAGATTTTGCTTTCCATTAGGGAAATCTCTTTCGGATATCATTTGAATATGAAGAAGACATCTTGGTTTAAACGAAATGCTCAGATATGTTTCCGAGATATAAATCAATCTAGCATTGAAATCTGGACAAATTCTTTTTGCATTAGGAATAATGTTTGTTATGATATCATGAAGTTATAAACAGACACTATGAAAAACATTTTTTTAAATAAGCACACAAATGACCCACATGGCCAATTTTAACCAGTATTTTCAAGAGTAAACAACAGCCTTATATATAAGTATATAATCTACATAAGATTTTGCTTTCCATTAGGGAAATCTCTTTCGGATATCATTTGAATATGAAGAAGACATCTTGGTTTAAACGAAATGCTCAGATATGTTTCCGAGATATAAATCAACCTAGCATTGAAATCTGGACAAATCCTTTTTGCATTAGGAATAATATTTGTTATGATATCATGAAATTATAAACAGACACTATGAAAAACATTTTTTAAATAAGCACACAAATGGCGTAAAGAAACTATGAAGGTAGAGTAGTGTACAGATATTGAGACGCTTCTCGATTATTTGAGATATTTTCATATGTTAAAAAGCACCTATTGCCTTGTACGATTATTTGAAAATGGTAAATACTAAAATAATAACTATAATGATAAGAATATTATTAATGGTGACGATAATTACGAAGAATAATGGGTAACATTATTATTTATGATAATGGTAATAAAAGTAAGAACAATAACAAGAAGAACAAAAACGACAAGAAGAAGACTAGAACTGCAATTTTATTAGAACGATATGCATGCATCGACGCCCCTGTTTCTATGTGGCAGATGAAAGAGCATCTCATGGACGATCTAGAGCAATGTTAGTAGTCTGTAGCATTTAGCAAAGTGGAGATAGGAAGGCCGAAAGAAAGGCATGAAACCAGACCCGAAACAGACAAAGTGGGGCATGGACGGTCACACATAATGATGGGTGATTTCAGACAACGAAGAGTTAGGTGACGTTGATTGCCTGCGTGCAAAACGAACGGGATTTTGAAAAATAAGATCAAAAAGAAGAAGAAGAAAAATTCTGAACACGAACGAAAACGAGGCATTAACGAAAGTCGTCAATGCAAAAAAAAATGAAGATAAAGAATTTAACAACTGAGTAATCCAATCCTCGATTTGAAACTACTTCCGAAGAAAAATCGATTAATTTGGTTTTACAGACCATTCATTTTAAGTTTCTTAAGGTATGGTCACCGTCAAAACTCTTCTTCTTCTCTTCTTTTTTTCTTAAAATTGCGTCCAACTCTTGTGACAGTACTTTGTCACAAGTATTTTCAGGATGATACATTAGGTGATTAGAATTAATATCTTCCTTAGGATTTCGCTACAACTCAATTCCTTCAGGAACTTTATAAGATTTATATCTTTATTCTCTTTTGTTGCGGAGCCGATGAATATTTGGGCACTGAACCCTAACGATTAAGCTGATTTAATGCTCAGATTTTGCTGGGATGGCGGTAAAAAATGTATCTTCCTCTAATCCAACACATAATTCAGAATTCATGACCGCCTCGATCGATCCCTCAACATTTTCTCCACCCCTGAATTATGCGACTTAGGAACAGCTACATTTAGTCATATTAATCATCTCTCTCTCTCTCTGCCCATAATCTCTCTCTCTCTCTCTCTCTCTCTTTACTCACCTCTCCTCACATACCCTTCATACTTATTATTCCCTTTATTCCTCTATCTGTTTCATTCCAGCGCATTTATTTCTCTACTTTTACTTGTTTATTCTATCTCTCTCTCTCTTTTCTCCTTCTCACTCTCCGCCCTCTCTCCCTCTCATACATTCTCATCCCTCTCCTCTCACACACTCCATCTCTCTTATCTCTCTCCATCACCTTCTATCTGTCAATCTATGTTCCTATCTTTCTAGTTTCCATTTCATTCCTGTCTTTCCTTACATTAATCTTCTCTATATCTATCCATCGCAATCTAGTGGTTCTGTTCCCTCCAAGCCCGTCATTAATTTTATTCATCTACCACGCTCTGCCTTTCCCAATCACTCTCTATCTCTGTCCCCAAATCATATTATGTTTGATAAGATA